CATAATGACATCAAACAGTCCTTTATAATAATGATAATAATAATAATAATAATAATGATAATAATAATAATTATTATTATTACTAGTAAGCATTACTTTTTATTCAGTACTAGTTCCAGTTTTCCATTATTGATTTGTATCAACGAGTAAATGATACACAATGAGTTATGTTTGTAAAAAAAAATACAGGAAACGTTTTTTTAAACACAAATGTTACGCATATATAACTTTACGATATTCAACATCCTGGTCACAGTGTTCAATGAATGTTGTTATGTTTCATTTTTATGAATAAAAAAATTGTAGACAAGCAATATATCATTTTCAAATGAATTGGTAGACTGTTCAGTCGGTTTATTTCATTCGGAAAAATACTTATTATCATTATTAGTATTTTAACAAAACAGATTAGTTCAATTTATATTGGTTTCTTTTAAAGTTTCTGATTGGAACATCAGGATTTAGTCGGCTGGTGTAATTCAAAACCTTTTCACTTATCATGTACCCTGCACTTTTGGCCATTTTCACATAGTGGGCTACGCTATATTGAATAAATTATAGGATTTAGTTGCGGAAAACTACAGACGCTTGAAATGAATTCTTAGTGAAATTACACCACTATATTCACTACTCACCCACTAGATAGATGGATAAATGGTCCAAAACGTTGCATACATCATAATTATTGAATAGTCAAACATTGCCAATATCTCTGACCATTATTTTGAAATTCAATGGCAAAAATATAAATTTTTCCAAGATGAATTTACCAGAAATTATTTTGTAAAAATACATTGTACTTTGAGACAAGCTAAAAAAACTATTTACAAAGTAAAGCTTCAAGAAACTGTCTCGGAATTAGATCCTTTGTATGGAAATACAAGTGAATCGATGGGCAGAACACTTTAGGGATCAGTTTAACTGGCCTTCAGCCACACTTCACTTACCCACGATCCCCAGTCGTCCTAAATGGCAAGTTGATGTAAGTCCTCCAACTCTTTACGAGGTTGAAAAAGCTATAGGAAATCTGAAGCGAGGGAGAGCAGCAGGCCCTGATAGGTTTACTCTTGAGATTTTTAAAGATGGTGGTCCAGTACTAGCAGTGAGATTGACTGAGGTCTTAGTTAGAATCTGGGAACTGGACGTAATTCCATCTGACTGGTCCCAATCACTAATTATGCAAGTCCTCTTGTGACAATCACAGAGCGATCAGTTTGACTAATATAGTGTCTAAAATATTAGCTTCAATAATACTTGGACGCCTAACCAAAGCTCGTGAAGAGCAGACTAGAGAAAACCAGTCTGGTTTTCGACCTGGACGTGGTTGTATAAGCCAGATATTCACTCTACGTCAGGTCTTAGAGCATAGACACACATTCAGATGTCCCACAATAGAAGTATTTTTTACCTTAAGGCGGCATTTGATTCCGTTGATCGAAAGGTTCTATGGCAGTGTTTGTCACTGGAAGGAGTATCAAAGAAGTACATTAACCTCATAAAAGCTCTCTATTCGAACACAACTGGTCGAGTAAGAGCCTATGGCGAACTGTCATCAGAATGGATTACCTGAAGTGGTGTTCATCAGGGCAGTCCACTCTCTCCATTCTTGTTTAACTTTGTCGTTGACATGTTTTTAGAGATAACACTTTCATCATTGAGTTGCATCGGCACCTGAACTAATGATAGGGAGTGAAGTAGTTGAGCGTGTTGACCGCTTCACTTATCTCAGGAGTCTCATCAGTTCTTGTGGTCTGGTTTGTGACGAAATCTCAGCACGGATACAGAAGGCTCGTCTAGCTTTCACCAACTTGCGTCATTTATCGCGAAGGCGAGATATCCGTCTAGCAACCAAAGGACGGGTTTACTGTGCAGCAGTTCGCTCCGTCCTACTTTATGGCAGTGAAACATGGCCGATAAGAGTAGAGGATATTCGTAGGCTACTAGTGTTCGATCATAGGTGTCTTCGAAGCATTGCTCGCATATCCTGGGACCACCGGGTAAGTAATGCAGTTGTTAGGAAACGGGTACTAGGTAAGGATGGCAAATCAATTGATGAAGTAGTGAAACGTGTTACCTATGCCCAACCACCGACTGCCCCGACGTGCAATGTTTCATGGTGTAGGAGTAGGTTGGAAGTAAGCTAGGGGCGGCCAGACCAAAACGTGGAACAAGTCATTGAAGTCGCTGACAAGTGGACTAAGTCATGTTGGTAGGTGTAAACTACCTGGTTGGGATTCGCGAGATCATAGCAATCGATGGTTAGAGACTTTGAATGATATGGGTCAAAATCGTTTGCAATGGCGAAGGTGCATCCACTCTGAATTCTTCATGTCTCTATCTTTTCTCTCTCTCTAAATTTATTTCACTGGATTATACTCCTTGAATAACATCTTCAAACCCTAATCTTTCACATTAATGCTTATACTCTTACTACTTCTACCGCTATGGGATTTCAATCGACAACTGCATGTCTGTGCTAATGTGGTATGGCAACTCGAACCGATGTACGTAGGTATGAAGTTCTACGCTGTGATTGACTGACAAATGAAACTATTGGTCTACCTACAACGAAAGTAGGTGAGGCGGGGTTTTAAGCTTTTAATCTGCTGGTCGAAGGCTAAGCGTTATATCCAGTAAACTATCAATTCCATGATGTTTCATTAAGTACTTAAATCTCGTCTGCTTAAATACATGCAGTTAGAGCTTTATATCGTGATCAAATTAATTATGAAATTGATTATAAAATTGAACATTGTATTACTAAATATCCTGCAACTAGTTGTTATATTGGAAAACAATGAAGTAATGTATTGTTCACCAAAAGAAAATTTAGAACGTCGTTTGAATTCTAACGAATGGTTTTACAGTAGTTGGACGTCTAGTTAATGTAAGACACTAATAGAATAAAATTATATTGGTTAAAACTCTCAGCGACTCAACTTCAAGTAAATAGAATGTTTCATTTAGCAGTCTGTTTCAAGTCTCTTTAAAGAGAAATAATTCAACATTAAAAATTATCGAAAATAAAAATAAAGTTCACAAACTGTACTAAATAGGCCGTAAAATCACATTAACATGGTTGAATATAGAATTTGTTGTAGTGTTCATGTGTGATTTGGTATGAAAAGCGGATATAAGAAGTATGTGCGGATTTAATATCAGAAAATTTCACGGACTTTATGTGGCGTCAGGTTGCGGTCGTTGATAAAATTAGAAAAGGCGATAAATACTATCTAGTAAACTTGTCACAGCATGAATCGAATGAGAATGAAGAAACAAGTAAATATAAGTGTAAGTTGTTGTGCTAAATGACCCGGTTGTTCACCATACATCCAGACAAATTAACTGATAAGAACATATAAAATAACCATTCATCTACATATGATGACTTTAACGTTTTTATTATCTCCCTTTGAAGAAGCTCGAACCAGACTGCTAAATGAGAGAATGAATTCACTTTTAATCCAATCGAGATTTTTACAAATATAATTTCTTTTTTAATGACAAAATATGGATTTCTAGCATGAAAATTAATTTATAGATGTACATTAAGTTAGTATTAGACTATACATTAAAAAACTGTCATAGGTACGCGAAAATACTATTTTATAGCTTTATACATTGATGAGTCAACATTATTCCAAGAGGTTAAAATCAGTATCTTCTTTAATGAAGTTAGCTTTTCCATTATCGGTTAACCTGTCTTTAGATCTGTCATTTAAATTCAATATTTCCCAAAGTCAGTTAAGTTTTGCAGAACGAACCGTCTGTGATTAGCCATAGAACCAAACACTCACGCTATTCAAGACTCCGCAGTTGGATGTACTTAAGTTCCAGCCTTGATATCCTCATGAAGAATCAAACTTAATACCTTTTCGTTAAAACGGTCAATCCCTTATCTTTTGAGCTGCTAAATTCAGATAATCACTCATTTGTGCAACAGGTATGATAATTTAAACATTCTATCGTAAGGAACGAAATGCGTAAAATGCATAAATGAGTAAAATCACTATTGTTGTTATTATTATTGGTATTTTTATTGGGTGGACTTAAGTTAAAAGGTTATACAACCATAGCTTTCCACCGCATTTACATCTTTATTTGATTCACTGTACAAGAGTTAACTGTAACTATACTCTTGATGTGTAATTTACCAAAGCTGCAACAGTCATTTTTAAGTTCCGTGTTTTGAGAAAGGTAGTTCAATTAAAGTTTTGTTTTTTAGTTTGGGATTATATAGAAATTGTATGATTGTGAATGTGAAATTTATTAAGGAGGAATCCTGAGCAAAGATAAGAAGTATTAAGGAAGGGGTTTCATAAAGATGAGTGAATTTTATAGGAGACATCACAAACTGACCTTATTTAGATAACTGATGGAAGCCATGAGACACCGGACAGTTTAAAGGTCACAGTATAGAACTCTTCGAGAGTCCTCATCCACAAACATATCATGGATAAAACTCAGGACCTTCATATCTCACGGCAGCAGATTAACCTTTAGATTTCTTAGAATAATCATAATCATACACTAGTTAATGACTAATTTCAAAAGTTATTTCCAGGAGCTCTAGCCGGAGTTTTCAATCCGTGAATTTCAACCATATTGAGTGTGAGACAGTTACCAATCAACAGGATTACATGATAGCTGTAAAATACTGCAAATTAATAAAATTTATAAGTGTATACATCCGGGTGTTGGCTTAGTGTACCAAGGGTTAAGCACCCTTCGGGAGATCTAGCAGTCCTGAGTTTGATCTCGGTGACATCACAGATCCTCTTTTTTACGAAATCCCACACCAGAACGAAACAGCTAATAAATGCTTCTTAGTTTTTAATGGTTGTGTAACTAAAATCACTTCACGAAATAGCCTATAAGATAAAAAGTTTTCGCTAAAATTCATTATATCTCCAGTTAACCTCTGCAACCAATTATGCTTTATTTTACATACCAACCGTAAACGTCTAAAAGAATTTTGTTTCAAAACGTAATAAACTTACTAGGTAAATGATGTGAAGATGATTCAACTGGTTGACTATAGTAATTATGCTCCATTTGATAATCAGTGTCGGGTAAACGTCCAGTTTGTCTACGTAATAATTCCATTTGGTATTGATAAATTAAATGAGATAATTGAATATCAGAAATCTCAGGAAAATATGATAATGGATTACGTTTATTATTGTCATTATTACTGTCAGTATTTTGGTTTGAATTACCATAATACGAGTAACTATTTAAACTTGCAGATGGTTGATGTTGGTGAGGTATTTTTGATTGTTGTGAATACACTGGTCTGTTGTCTAATGGATTATTATTATTGCTCTGATAATTGGGAATAGGAAACCAACTAGACGGATTTTCACGATTCATATGAGCCGTATAACTACCATATAATTCATCATGTTGAAATGGTTTATTATTATTAGTATGATCTTTTCTGGTCCATTTCTTCTCTTGTTGAGGTGGGTACTGTTGAGTACTCATTTCATACATAGTTTGTTGTTCAGGTATGTAAAGTGATTCTTGATAATTATTCGTTCTTGTATACGGATTATAAGGTGAAAATGATATCTGTTTTTGTATTATTGATTTAGAAGGTGCAAGATTTACTCTTCTATAATCAAGTCGTTCATTCGTCTCTCTCTGTGTTAAAGATGGTATGGATGATGGTACCGATGGAGATTCACCGTATGACCTGACACTATTCTTATTAATACGGTTAGATTGAGACAACTTCGAACCATACATCAACCGTGTATTGAAAAATTCGACATTATCATTATCGTCATCATTGTCAGTTTCTTCTTGTGAGTTAAAATTATCACGACCTACTCTCTGATAGTGTTGTTTTCTTTGCTGCTGCTGTTTTTGAGAATCTCGTACATATGTTTCATCTGACTGAAAACCTTTCATTTGATCGAAATTATCATTATAATCACTCAAAAATGAAGAATACATTAATGGTGATGATGACAGCGGATATAATTTTACTTTGTTCTGTTCGTCTGTTTTTTGACCTTTAAATCCAAGGTCATATGGTGGCATAACCACTTTTGGTGTCCTTTGTTGTGTTGATGATTTAGTCGGATGTAGATCTAAATTACCATATCTACGTTCATTCCTACTTGAAATCGGCCTACTTTCAGCATAATTAAATCCACATAGTTCTACATAAATTAATAATCCAAAGTAAATAGTGAATAATGTACTCATCCCATGACTTAAATGTTTACGTTGTATTAGTCTTTTTGATGTTTCAATTACACTCTTCAATGTATCGCTGGAATTCGATCCACTGATAAGTTTATGTATGAGAATGATTGAATCAGTGTACAATGTAAGTAGTATGACATTTATTTTACTGTAAATTCTATAATTACCAATACCATTAATACTGTTTCCGAAGAATAGAATTATATCCTTCTGATGATATAATCGTGTGCTGACGTAACATACTGATTTCCAAAACCATACACCTAAGGCACTAAACAATATGCAGAATATCCATGACAGTGATAGTAACGAGGAGGATGTCAGTGCTGAGAATGTTAGTGATATTAAATCCAAGAAATAAGAAAAAGGGGAAATGAGTGAATGTGATGATGGTAGATAGTTGTTAAACCACTCAAAGAAACTAATGAGATAACAATGAGATGAATGATTTAAATAATAAAAAATTAAAATCAATGATATTAATAACAGTCGTAGCACTACCAGTATTATTATTATCAGTAGTAGTTGTAGTGGTAGTCGTCGTAGTAGTAGTATTTCCAATAAATTCAAAACAGCTGACAATAATAGTGATAAATTTGACAACGTCCACTGGGAATTGAACATGAATTTGTTCAAAGTGATCTTACTTATTTTATGTTTTGTCTGTTACTTATTATTCAATAAATTGATTGATGAAATAATGACCGATTTGATAAATCAGGTGTTGAGTTTTCAATTTTTTAATTATTTATTTTCCACTTTCTGCCTTTCGCTCTCTGAAATAAATAATTCAAAGTTCACACGTAAACTACAATATTACATTGTTTTCATATAAGTTAGAAGATCCAGTCTAATTTTATCCAAATTCCCATGCATAATGTACAAGAAAATAAATTTCAAAGAATAATAATAATTCATACATCACCCCGTTCTATTGGGCTGTTCTGATCAATGTCTTTGATCTTATTTCGTTTTGTACTTTGTCACCGTTGTTGTTGATGAAAAATATGACGTTGTTTGTGATAGTCAAAACCTTTGTGTTTTCAACAGTTCTTGTCTTTGTCTTTGTCCGAGTGATTAAAATTTCAATTCACAATTGAGTAATAATATAATTTCCATACAATTTTCGGAAATATTTTACTAATATTCCTGATAGTTAAATATTGAATAAGTAAGTATGGAATGTAATTTTATGTGAACTATAGGATGCTAATAATTAGAATATATTCAAATCATAAAACAGAACAACAGACAATCGTCGCTGATCATTTTGGCCGGAGTGACTACCATCGTTTCCAGTGCTTCCACTGTTTATTATATCAAATTACGTATGCTTACAAAGTGGGTATGTGTATGTATGGAAAGGTGTGTATCTGTACGTGTTCCAGTGTGTTGATTAATTTAAATAATTTAGTGCAAATATATATGTGTGATTGTTGCGTATATATATCATGTTCAACGTTCAATACGATTAACGCGCATAACCTGCGCACTCACATACAATTGATAAAATTGAATTGGTACACAAATTTAAAATTTCTTGTTGGATGGTAGTACATTCCATAAATATATGAAATTATTGATACCAATATGATTATAGGTTTTTGATTGTAGGCGTTTAACTCATTTACTAATATTAATAGAACTAATTATTTAAAAAATGTTAAAAAATAATAAGTAAATTGATCGTCCAATCGTTAGTGTGATATACTTTGATTTCATTCATCTGAGTATACACACATAAAGCATGATACTAAGTGTTGTAATTCATATAGTTTCTGTGCGCATGTGTTTATGCTCTTCTAAATAAATGTAAATACATTTTGATGGGAAAAATATAAAATTATAATCTCTATTAATTTTGTTACTATTTCAGTTTCGTAACAGTCTTACGAAAGTAGCTTTACAGTTTCCTGTATTCAATGGGAAAATTTCAGTCTGTTTATGATGTGGTCTTAAATAATACCAATAAATTTCAGTCGAATGTTTGCTATTATGTTTGTACATTCGTGCATTGGTTGAAGTTAAACATTAACAACGTTGGATGCCGACTCAATGGTTTAGAGGTTAAGCGTTTGCGCACGAGACCAATAGGTTCTCTGTTCGAATCTCGCGGGGTGGGATCGTGGATGCGTACTGCTCAGGAGTCCCACAGTAAGATGAAACGGCTGTCCAGTGTTTCCAGGTTTTCTATGGTGGTCTAGCTTCAAATGATTCATGATTCCAACTATAAAATACACATTAATTGAATTGTTGTTACTATAACTAACAGTAAAACGGCACTGTGACGGTGGCCTGAAAAGATGTTAAGAGTGACTTTGGGATGAGCGTACCAGAAAGAAGTCAATCCGTTTGCAGCTTTGTGAAACGATACTAAAACACACACAAAACAACGTAATAAAATAACAAAGGACCAACAGCTTTAGCAAATTTAATGAAATTATGGGGGATAACTATCAATAAATTGGGTTGGAAATCGGTGTATTGTAACCTTTGCAAATTCTTACTTCTAATCCCGATCCACGTAGTTCTAACACTCCTAGACCTTAGCTTCTAACTTTAACATTCCTAACTCTAATTGTCACAACTTAGTCGACAAGAAAATCATCATTCAACCCTTTCTAAATACGAACTATGTTCAAAACTACGGTTTCTACCAACCAAAGTGTTAAATTCACACGAATGTTCAGCATCGGCTACTTTCATCAGGATTAGTTGCTCTAGGACGTCGGTATAACATAGTTTTATCATTCTATTAGTCCGTAAACGTTATGCATATTAGTGAAATACTTTACATAACCTATCAAATAATGTAAAACATACGATGCGGCAAGCACGTGTTAAGTCAAAACTTGTTTAAGTTTGATTTTTATTCACAGAAAACAAGTAATATTAGCCTCATGAAAAATTTCAACTCCTATATTGATAGAAATATCTACGTAATATATAATCTCAGGAAAAAAGTAAATCTCTTATCAGTAGTGTGATCAGTCGAACAATACATCTCAATATTCTTTTTAAAGACAGTAACCAGTTCAGAATTCAGCGGAAGCAAAATTTTTAAAACGTGAAAACATAAACTGACTTTTAGTAGTGAGATAACCAATGAAAACGAGGAAGTACTAGATAGCTGACTCTAGTCAGCATAGGATATCTCATCAATTCTCACTCAGCTGAGGATCAGACCCAAGAATGGTAGCTTCGCATTTGGGTTTCTAAACTCTTGATCACTGAGCCGCCATCGAGTGGTGAACACATAAAACGCTGTCCGGTGCTTCCAGGTTTTCACGAGTCATCTAATCAGACTCAGTTCTTGATTAAAATTAAGCACATTCTGTAATCACTACAAGCTCTCCTATACTATTAAAGTAGAAAAAATCAAAAACATTTTACAAAATGTGAGGGTATCTCAATGGGAGATCAGAGTAAACTGAAAAACAGGGCAAACGCTTTTTATATACAAAGATTTGGTGTATTTATGCGATTTCCTATGACTTATGCTGTGTGCATAAGACGAATTCTTGAGACATTGGATTGTTCTGATAGAATTCTCTTTATGTAGGTATAGCGACCCCCAACAATTAAATATGCCAGAATAGTGCTTCCTATTTTTTCCTGTTGTCCTTTGGTAAGCCATGAGAAAGGATGTCTAGAAATATGATGATATATCTACCTTTTCAAACGCTGAACATTACGTATTTTGATGATGAATGGGATCAAATAGTGATCGGTGTCATTATCGAACACATAAAATCACTCTTTTTTACTTAGTCCGATATTTTATACAGCGGTATATTCTGTAGTTTCCCTTCGCGGAGCTATTAGTTTTCTATGAGACATTGATTACAGTGTACTCTCAAACTTTCCTATATTGTTTCCAGGTATTTATAAGTTTCCATACTGTCTACGAAGAAAATACACTGGTAAATTATTTGTATATCCAACTAATTTCCGTTCGTACTGAGTAATAAAAACTGATGACTTTTACAGGGAGAATAAAGCTTGTTTCACCAATGTGACAGTAAGAGAAGAGCGATAATATTGTCAAGAACGATAATGAAAAGATTGTAATTAAATCATATTGTTTAGGGCGCACAATGTCAACACCAGTAGTATGCGAATGGAACACAAATTTCCGGTATCATTCGTGACAAACAACGGTCAATTTATTTGAACATAACGACATGGAATATCAGAAATTGTTTGTAAAAAGAACACTCTGGAAGGTTGATTTCGATTATATCAAACAGTCATATAGCTAGCAGTATTCTGTTACGTAATCACATAATTAAACAAGAATTAACGATAATGTAAAATTTAAAACACTATTGAATCATTCGGTCATATGTACAAAACCTTGTGAACTATAAGAAAGTAGAAAAACGATGTACTAATGTAATCAAACAGAAATTTTGAGAATCAGTTCTGTTTAAATAAGGATTATGTTATCAGAATAAGGAAAAACTGAATTATTTTGTCTTGAGCATAAAAAAATGCTACTTCTGATGTTTGATATTTATATCCTCAGAAAATTTGAGACTAGAACTTCCCTGTTGACTTAAAAAGGCTTTCAAGTTTTCTAGCTGATGTTTGTTTGTCAAGAATATAATTCAACCGCCTGTGCTGTAAGTTTGGTTTTCTCACCCATCCACTCACTAAAGAAAATATTTTTCACATCTTTTCCCTTGCGCTCCTCCAACCTGTATTCCGATAATATTGGTAGTTTTAAGAAGGTTTTTATTGGTTATTATAGTTTTAATATTAATATAAAAACTAATAATTTGTACGATGATGAATATTTTGATAAAAGTGAGCTTGGATAACCACAATATTACCAATTCAGATTCACATTTTTTCCAGTAAAGTTTCCGTCTCTGGAAGAGCTCAAGAGTGTGGTAAAAGAATTCAAGTAAGGAACATTTTATCATTTGTGATTCCCAATTCCATAGGGATCGGAAACCGTACATTAAGCTTGTGTCCTGTAGGACTGGTCACCAAGCTGCCGAAAAAATCTCAGTCGCTCCTAAAGAAAGAGGTAAGTGTAATAATTTAATAAGGCTGTTTCTCCCAGTGTTTTATCGAAATGTAGTTGTTCAGCACCTGCATTTTCCAAGGAGACATATGAATATTTGAATTTGATTTTTGGAAGCGTGCTCAACAAATGTAAATGCAATCTTTGGCTTATCCTGATAGATCATGGAAACGGTAGCCAACGGAATCGGAGTACAAATCCTTCAGGCCTGTACTAGTTTCATGAAGTTCAGCAAACACTAGTGAACTATGTATACTCCTCACTTCGGAAGCGCCTGTTTCCTCAGGAGATGTCTAAAGATCACACTAGTGGATGATATTATACTTTTTTTGTGAAATTTTATGAAAAGTGACTGAAATTTCAGGTGACATTCTTCACAGGTTGAGCTCAGCTGTGGATTCAACCATAAAGCACTGAAGAGCTATTTCGCCGCAGTGTGAACTCTTCATCAACGCGTCCACTTGAATTCTTCTGATATCGAAATCGGGACCTATATGTCTTGTAACTAATCATTAACCATCAGAACCACCGGGATAAAGTCCAGTGCTTCAATCCCAGCTTCAATGAATTTGAAATAAAAGTCAACTATCCATAGTGTTGCTATGGGTGAACACTATCAACTGCCTCGTACTACAACGAAATAGCTCCCCAGTATTTTGTTTTTCTCCATGATAAGACGGAGATCAGTCTGTCACGGATATTATCTACAAATTAAAATAATCTCCATAAAACCACTTTTAAATGTTAATAATATCAAACTTCTTAGAAAAATGATAGGCTCATTACCCTAATTATTGAATCTTCTATATTTATCCGATTGTACCTCATTATTGCTATTATTCATTTGAAGTGATCATATAAATGTAGAACAAAATTGTTGAAAGTCTATTTCATAAAATGACCAGTTTATGGTGATTTCATAATTTATAAAGAATATGAGCTTGTTTAGTCTATGGTTGCAAGCTTTACAGTAAAAGATTGTGCTCTTAATTCATGTGACACTATTTACTTACTCACCTAATAATTATTTACTCGAACGATTTATCATCGAGTGACTGCCTGAGTTAAAGTTACAATATTTTTGGAGCCTAATAACTGTTCCAAATATCAATAAGTGGTTCATGCTAATATTTTTTGACATAACCATATTACAAATCGTAATGTAAACCACAGATGAATAAAGTAAATGTAAAGTGTACATATGTATTTAGTCATTACTAACAAAAATCTACTACCTAAAATTTTATGCTTCTACTGATAAACAATATTGAAAGTATGCATGATTTTGTAAAAAGTGTAACGATCAAAGTACACATTAACAGGCCTTTATGCAGCCGTAATCAATCCCATATTATATAGTCTTTAATGCTACTCGAATTTTATTGATCAAGTTCGTTATATGAGTAATAGACCAACTGATCCTACAATGTCATTTATCTGTTAATAATTGTAGGTGTTCGCGAATGAAAAAAATCCCTGATCCTACGTTTGATACCAGATAATATTAATCAACAGTTTGTATCTCCATTTATTGGGAATCTGATACATTCATAGAAATTCGAACCTAATTCAGCGGTT